TGAGGAATGCCAGAAGGAAAGAGAAATTGAAAACAATTCCCTACGGGGAACTTAAAACGCCGACAGCAAATATCTTTCATTCAGAGAATACCTGAAATGATAAAGTGTATGTCATATGACAGCTGCACTAAGGAAAATCAAGTCACCAATTATATTGATTTTCTAAGCGTAGCTTAGATATGGCACAAGGCCGAACGTATGGGGCACCCAGTGAGGATTGGACTCACTATTCAGTAGTAACTATTTTAGTGAGACAAGCTAGCTAACTATTACACCAGGCTGAGGTGACCAAGTCACCAGATATATTAAAGCAAAAATAAAGAAATAACAGGAAAAAATCTTCATATGGAAACAAAGCGATGAAATTTTAAGCCAAAATATATGTATTAAGCTGGTTGAAATAGAATAAAAAAACACCCCCCCTCCCAAAAAAAAAGAAGCAGGACAAAGTCGGAACGGCAATACTTTAGGAACGATATTAATTATTCAGCCATTTTAAAAATACAATGAACCGACCACCGACCAATGACAATACTGTTCCTGGGAAACCTAATGAGGAAGGAGAATCTGATACTCACGGGTCGAATAGAGGGAAAAAGAGACAAGGGAAAACAAAGCGTGACATACCTGGCGGCCTTAAGTAAGTGGATGACAGAATGTGGTCTGGGGGGAGGTGGCAGAGGGAAGGAACTTGTTGAGAGCTGCAAGGGATAGAGGGAGGAGGAGAGCTTTGATTGCCTACCTCCTGATAGGACGACACGGCACATAGAAAGAAAAAGAAGGGTGCCACTTAGAAGATCCAACTTCAAAGACTTTATCCGCCGGCCATAAAACGCGGCACAGTTGGGAATCGAGATAAAACCAAACATCCTCCTTTTCTTGTAGGTGTACCACTCATAATGTCATATATTTAAAAAAGCAATTAAGAGTCAAATATTCTAAACAAGAAATCAAATATAGGCATTGTGAATAAGGAAAAGAAAATGAACCAAATAGTAGATGTGGAAGTGTTGTCATACCACAGCTTAAAGAAGAGCAGAAAAAAGAACTACCGACTCAATTACAGGGAACTGAAGAAACTACATTGGACAAGGGTCGTACCTATGATCATTGGGATACTCGGAGCAGTGACAACCGTTATAGGAAAGATTAACAATATTGAGTGTGCTTGTTCGGACTACGTCTGTACTGAGGTCTGCGAGAATAATAAGTAAAAATCTATCTATCTATCTATCTATCTATCTATCTATCTATCTATCTATCTATCTATCTATCTATTCCAGTCTGTTCATCTATCTATCTCTATCTATGTTCATATCTATCTATGTCTCTGTTCATATCTATGTCAGTATCTATCTATCTATCTATCTATCTATCTATCTATCTATCTATCTATCTATGTCTAGTTTGCAGCTGACTCGCACTCTGCCTAAATATTTTCTACACATTTATTCTGTTTCTCTGAATATGTACTTGAAAAGGTGTGTACAGCCATTGTTTCATTAATACATTAGAATAAAAATTTGGAATTAATTATAGCTTCATAAAATAACTTTATCTGTTATTCGGAAATAATCAGTCGGAAACAAAGGGAGACGCCCTTCAGCAGCAAATCAGACTTAGCTAGCTAGCTAGATAATGAAAAGGCTGGGATAGATAGATAGATAGATAGATAGATAGATAGATAATGAAAAGGATAGATAGATAGATAGATAGATATATAGATAATGAAAAGGATAGGTAGATAGATAGAAAGAAATAATTTTACTTAGTATTCATCAGAGAAAGAAACGCCTCGGCTAAGATAAGTTTTTCTTTTATCTTTATTCATATATATATATATATATATATATATATATATATATATATATATATATATATATATATATATAGGAAGGTATGCTTGAAGCCTAAGAAGATTGTAGGTACCGAGCAAGCAGGAAACTGGACTGGAAGGGCTTTCCACAGGTGGAAGAAAAAACTATTAGAATAGAAATTACGGTCACATCTAGCTCGTTCAAAAGAGAGAATTGAACATAAATTGTCTTAGCACTTTCAGCTTTCGTAAATCATTATGAATGAGATTTATTTTGGTGATCATAGGGGTGTGCCTATTAAAAATATGACAGTGGCGATTAATATGTTAATGTCTAAATAGATGATTAAAACCGGCAATGCTAAAATATGTATTGATTTATCAACCTTCTTTAAACATTAATATTTTTATGCACACTGGTCGAAATAGTGGAAATTTATGCACACTGGTGGAAATAAATCCATATGCTGGTATCAAACGCCGTAAATGTCCAGCTGTAAAGGAAGGTATTTATGTTTTAAAATGTAGAATTTCGCGTAAATTTTAATCTGATGTCTCGAAATAGGCGCTACGTTTGTGCATACCCTTTCAGCAGGTCTTTGTATCGAATAACTAGACTGGCCAGATAAAACTAATTTACATCACTGTGCATTTTATTTCCTCTTCGCTTGGTTAAACACCATAAACGCAGCAGAGACACTTGCTGGCTTAGTTCAGTATTGGAGACAAGGTGCTGGGTGAGTGATTCTCACTAGCACAATATCGAAATGGAATAAAAACGAAGAAAGGATATACGTCCAGCTAGCTATCATATTTATTATTTATAGAAGCGAGTTTTCCTAAAGTAAAGCATGTTAATTTAAAATCTCTTATTGTTTATGGTTTACTTGGTGACTGAGGCCGTCACTTATTTCCTTTCGGTAAATATCAGCTGTGTTTGAATGTAGAGAATTATCGGTAACTTCTAATGGTGATTTTTAAGTCAGATAGCTTCTCTTCATTTTACTAGAATACTGTAACACAGTCTGGCTACATTTTATGTATTCTTTTACTTGTAAAAATCGAACCCCGTGAGAGTGTCCTACAGCGCCTGCGTGGCCTCACGTTTTTCAATGACTTGAGGTGGAACAACTACATTGAATCAATAGCTGCATCTTCTGCAAGGAAAGTCGGTTCACTGCGTCGCGCCAGAAGGTTTTTCTCGCCTGAGTCCCTCTTACACATCTATAAATCTACCATTCGTCCGTGCATTGAATACCGTTGCCATATCTGTTCTGGTGTTCCTGCTATTCATCTCGAGGTTCTTGACGAAATTCCCTCAAAAGATCTGCAATATATCTGACTTGCCATTTCGACATCAGTCGCTTTCTTATAGACGTCATGTGGCTTCCCTCTGTCTTTTCTATAAATATTTTCATGGCATCTGCTCTGACAACCTTTTGTCCCTGGCGCCCCAACTGCATGAATTTAAGCGTGCTACTAGGTTGACATCTCAGTCCCACCCATTTACAGTTGAAATAGTTAAATTCAACCACCGCTTCTACTCTAGCAGTATTTTTCCCACTTCCCGACAGTGGTACTGCCTTCCTCTTACATGCTTCCTTGATAACTACAATCTTCAAACATTTAAATGCAACGTAATTCGTAATCTTCTGTTACCTCGATACCCGTTCATCTTTTATCCTTTCCTTAATCTTCTTATACCCAGTTTTTTTTTCTCTCATTTTCACTCTCTATACCCGACTGGGTGCTAGACTCCCGCCTTCCTTGGGGTGAAATACTTAAAACATAAATCCGGTAATATCACAAATATATGAATAACTATTAATTTGTTTATCTCAGTATATTTTTATCTACCTCTGTCCGTCTCTCCCTATTCGCCCCTCTCTCTCTCTCTCTCTCTCTCTCTCTCTCTCTCTCTCTATATATATATATATATATATATATATATATATATACATATATAATAACAACAAAGCTGTTTGACACCGAACATCGACCAGTAAATTACCAGTGACCAATGAGTTTAAGATGAACAGAATTTTGTAAAATGTTCAAAATAAAAAATATATATAAACAATAGGAGCTATACTTTGGAAGATGAACATTATCTATCTATCTATCTATCTATCTATCTATCTATCTATGTCACATTCACATCTCCCCCCCTCTCTCTCTCATATATATATATGTCCTGGGTATGACAATAAACTACATACTCGTCCAAGGTAAGACGATAAACTACGTCCAACAGTAAGGCCTCTGATCAGGAGGCTTTGAGGATCATAGAACCAACTCTTAATTGCTGGTGTTCCCAGGTCCACACTGACCCAGGGTGGTAGCACCTATTAGGGCCCCAGCTATGGGCAAATAGTTAACCCCGAAACTGAGGCAAAAAGCTATGAACAATTTAAATAAGGCCAAATTAGAAAGCATCATTAATTCATTGGATACAAGAAAACTCGAAAAGAGGGGATAAATATGACTATAGGCTGACGTCTCGTTATTGAATTTCCGTTTGAAAATTTCACTTTATGGTTAATATTAACTACTTAAATAGGTACATTGACATGGAAGGAGTTTGTTGAAAAATAAATATTTGTTGCGTAAAATAAATGTCTATATTTTTTCATCGTTTGGCTAGAGTTTGAGTCGCTGTTTGGTTTTTAATCGCATTCGCTTGTTTCTACGAAGTTTCGAACATCCTTATCGTTACGTATGTTTCATTGATTTATTCTTTTACGGCACTTAGTTCGTTGGCAGCGTTCCAGGAAATGATGCATCCGCCCCCCCCAGAAACACACGAAATAATTACAACATTCAAGTGCTGACTCCTTTGCTTGCAAAATATTTGGATGACCCTATAGGTAGATTTTAACGAACGGGCGAATTAATTATGGTTGGTTGCTTTTGTTTAGCGGCATATCAACACCTGTATGGGTTATTTAACACCGAAATCTAAATATTTTTTGTGCAAAATTTTATTCCATTTTTGGAGATGATAATAGTTTAAAGAAACATGTCTTACAAATTAAGCCATAGCTGGGGGGAGACCAAGTGGATTCATGCCTTTCCCAAGTGCATTTGTGCGAAAGTGAATATATCGAACCCGACTGGTATTGGAACTCAGCTCTCCGATTGATAATTCTGAGACATTATCCGTTACACGACCTACAGATTCAAGCTTACAGCACCTAGTATGCCTAAGCAGTCACCCATCTAGTTACTGACCAGATTCGACGTTGCTTAACTTCGGTGATCATACGGCAACCGGTGATTCAACGTGATGTAGCTGTAAACCTGAATTTAAATATATGTGTTGGTTGTATTTCATTGTATTCTTTCTGAAGTCTTCAACAAAGATGTAACTTTAAATTGAAAATCCAAGGTTTCTTCCCAGCAGGACATATGTATTATATGTTTGTGTGGAAATAAAATTTGCACATCACATCTCCTCTCTCGCTTGTAACCATCCATCACAGTAAGATAAACGGTTTTCAGCGCTGAATTAGTAAAATAAAGCTTCATAAACTTCTACTTAGAGTTGTCACTCTATGACAGTTTGCTTGTTCATTATTATCTGGATTTCATGCTGTAAGACGTTAGACTTCAGTGTTTTCGTATTTCGGTTTTATCAACTCCTTTGCTGGCCAGTAATCTTCTCGTCTTCGATGTAAGGCTTCAGAAATAGATAACAATTTGTTTTTCTTTTTAAAAGAAAGAACTTTATATTTGGAGAAGCCAACGCGGAAAATAGAGAATGGAGAGAATAAATGAGGAACGTTTTCTTCGCCTGCAGCAGAAACGCAACTTACACGACTGAATAATTTGAGTTACTGTGCATTTTTATGGACCGACGTATACCATGAGTGGTCGACGTTGCTGAGGGGGGGGGGTTCACTACCTCTAGAATGGTTGCCATCCAAGGCTATGAAACTTAGTCTATTTTGCTATTTAAGCCATAGAAGAATGAATTCATACCTTTCCCGAGGGTATATGCGCTTAAGTGAATGGAATGAACCCGATAGGAATTCGAACTCGGAAAGCCGAGTTCGAATTCCGACCCGCTATCCATTGCAGCATCAGCACATTCTTGAAGCTGCTTTGTCGAAATTACCAATTTTGGGAGAATTTCCTCGAAAGAATAAGTGTATATTTTTCAAAACTGATATTTCCGATACACTTGAGGTTGCACCTTTTTGTTAATATTGATCCGCCATTTTTTTTTTTTATAGCGGCCTGCAGGGGGTTCAAACAAAAATTTTCTTCTTTAACCTCAGTCAGATCACTTTGACAGGCCATTCGGTCAACAGATGTCCCTTTTCGACTGCAATGTTCGCCCCTTAGCGCCTGTCTTCACTGGTAGTCTGTTCTACACGTTTTATTTGTGTTAGCCTGTTACTAGGACTGTATTTCTACAGATGACATGACCAGATAATATGTCCAGGGTATGACGATAAACTTCATCCGGCAGCACGGCCTCTGATCGAGAGGCTGGAAGTTTTGAGGAGAGTGGAACCACCTCTTAATTGCTGTTGGTCCCAGGTTCACCCTGAGTAGGGGCAATAATACCTGTTAGGGTCCTAGGTATCGGCAGATAGTGAACTCCCAAACAAAACATTGTGAAAGTATGACATTTTTTATAGTAAACATAACAGCAATACATTTTTATGTAAAAAAGGACCAACGATATATATTTATAGTAAAATTACCAAAAATACATTTTACCTGTAGTAGAAGACATTCATTTCAAAATATATTTAGTAGGAAGCCATAAAATTGTGTTCAGATTATTTAGATTTCGGCATTAAATAACCCATATAGATGTTGATGTGCCACTAAAGAAAAAACAACCAACCAACATATCTTTAATAAAAAGAGGGTATTTGCAATTTGCCCACAAATGTTAAATATAATCAAAATTAGGTGATTATTTTCTAATTCAGAAAAGTATTCTTTCTATGTGGTCACGGTTTGATACTTTGTTGAAAATAAAAAGTAATTACTTACGCAGAACAATATAGAAGAGACAAGCTATTGAAGTAACACTGATGTCATGGGCAGGATTTATTAAAAATATGCATCTATTCTCTTTTATTATGAGATAAGCAGTGACCATATAGCGTTAATTCCTATGTCCGCATATACAATCAATAAGCCTATAACCTAATATAAAACATTATATCATATATAACAAATATTTATTTTTGAGTATTATTTTTCCTTTATTCAATATACTTAATTTAGTGTTGAATACATATATTTAATTATTAAAACATTAAGTTTAATTCTTCAAGTTCTGGCTTTAGTTAGTTCCTGAATTTCTTGTGGCAAGAAACAGGAGTTGCATTAACTGAGAAATGCTAAAAAGAATAATGAAGATACACTGAGGAATGGCGATTTTCATATGTGGCACAAAGCCGAAATAATCGGGCACCAAATGAGGATCAAACTCACTATTCAGTTGTATCGTGAGGCATAGACATTGGAACAAGAACAATGTAACTCAGAAGAATAAATTGTGGGTTCAAAATAATGGGTTATAATTTTCTTGAATGTTACACGGATTGACTTTGAATTTGGTTCTTGATTGTAGATGATAGCTTTTCTCTCACTCTCTCTTTCTCTCTCCACACACACACAGACACTAGCACACAGAGGCTCTCTCTGTCTCTCTCTCTCTCACACACTCACACACACACACACACACACACACACACACACACACATATATATATATATATATATATATATATATATATATATTGCTAGAGGGGTTCCTCTACGAAAAT